TTTATTTTTATTTTTTTCATTTATTTTTATTAGTTGGAGGCTAATTACTTTACATCATTGCAGTGGTTTTTGTCATACATTGAAATTTTCATCTAATTTATTTCCTAGTTGCCCTGAATCATAAAAATCCTCAGCATTTTGCCATTTAAAAATACTTGTTTCTAAAAGTTGTTCATGCATTTTATATTTTTTTGTACTCTGATTTGAAGGAAAGAATAAGTGATTATCCTTAAAAATAATTTTTTTAATCTTAAAAAAGTAAGGATGATAACAGGAATGGTAAATACATAAAATATAGATTAAAATATTTTGGATATTATGAATATATATATATTCTATATATATATATAGTTAACATCCTTCAGTTCAGTTCAGTTGAGTTCAGTCACTCAGTCATTTCCAACTCTTTGTGACCCCATGAACCGCAGCAAGCCAGGCCTCCCTGTCCATCACCAACTCCCAGAGTTTACTCAGACTCATGCCCATTGAATTGGTGATGCCATCCAGCCATCTCATCCTCTGTCGTCACCTTCTCCTCAGGCTCCCAATCCCTCCCAGCATCATTTGTCATTTTCCAATGAGTTTTTCTCCATTTTCCAATGGACTTTTCCAATGAGTCAACTCTTCCCATGAGGTGGCCAAAGTCTTGGAGTTTCAGCTTCAGCATCAGTCCTTCCAATGAACACCCAGGACTGATCTCCTTTAAGATGGACTGGTTGGATCTCCTTGCAGTCCAAGGGACTCTCAAGAGTCTTCTCCAACACCACAGTTCAAAAGCATTAATTCTTCTGTGCTCAGCTTTCTTCACGGTCCAACTCTCACATCCATACTTGACTACTGGAAAAACCATAGCCTTGATTAGACAGATCTTTGTTGGCAAAGTAATCTCTCTGCTTTTTAATATGCTATCTAGGTTGGTCATAACTTTCCTTTCAAGGAGTAAGCGTCTTTTAATTTCATGGCTGCAGTCACCACCTGCAGTGATTTTGGAGGCCAAAAAAATAAAGTCTGACACTGTTTCCACTGTCTCCCCATCTATTTGCCATGAAGTGATGGGACCGGATGCCATGATCTTAGTTTTCTGAATGTTGAGCTTTAAGCCAACTTTTTCACTCTCCTCTTTCACTTTCATCAAGAGGATTTTTAGTTCCTCTTCACTTTCTGCCATAAGGATGGTGTCATCTGCATACCTGAGGTTATTGATATTTCTCCCAGCAATCTTGATTCCAGCTTGTGCTTCTTCCAGCCCAGCGTTTCTCAAGATGTACTCTGCATATAAGTTAAATAAGCAGAGTGACAATAAACAGCCTTGACGTACTCCTTTTCCTATTTGGAACCAGTCTGTTGTTCCATGTCCAGTTCTAACTGTTGCTTCCTGACCTGCATATAGGTTTCTCAAGAGTCAGGTCAGTTGGTCTGGTATTCCCATCTCTTTCAGAATTTTCCACTGTTTATTGTGATCCACACAGTCAAAGGCTTTGGCGTAGTCAATAAAGCAGAAATAGATGTTTTTTTTCTGGAACTCTCTTGCTTTTTTGATGATCCAGCAGAAGTTGGCAATTTGATCTCTTGTTCCTCTGCCTTTTCTAAAACCAGCTTGAACATCTGGAAGTTCTCGGTCCACATATTGCTGAAGCCTGGCTTGGAGATTTTTGAGCATTACTTTACTAGTGCGTGAGATGAGTGCAATTGTGCGGTAGTTTGAGCATTCTTTGGGATTGCCTTTCCTTGGGATTAGAATGAAAACTGACCTTTTCCAGTCCTGTGGCCACTGCTGAGTTTTCCAAATGTGCTGGCATATTGAGTGCAGCACTTTCACAGCATCATCTTTCAGAATTTGAAATAGCTCAACTGGAATTCCATCACATACACTAGCTTTGTTCGTAGTGATGCTTTCTAAGGCCCACCTGACTTTACATTCCAGAACGTCTGGGTCTAGGTCAGTGATCACACCATCGTGATTATCTGGGTCATGAAGATCTTTTTTGTACAGTTCTGTGTATTCTTGCCACCTCTTCTTAATATCTTCTGCTTCTGTTAGGTCCATACCATTTATGTACTTTATTGTACCCATCTTTGCATGATATGTTCCCTTGGTATCCCTAATTTTCTTGAAGAGATCTCTAGTGTTTCCCATTCTGCTGTTTTCCTCTATTTCTTTGCATTGATTGTTGAGGAAGGCTTTCTTATCTCTTCTGGCTATTCTTTGGAATTCTCCATTCAAATGGGAATATCTTTCCTTTCCTCCTTTGCTTTTCGCTTCTCTTCTTTTCACAGCTATTTGTAAGGCCTCCTCAGACAACCATTTTGCCTTTTTGTATTTCTTTTCCATGGGGATGGTCTTGATCTCTGTCTCCTGTACAATGTCACGAACCTCCATCCACAGTTCATCAGGCTCTGTGTCTATCAGATCTACTCCCTTAAATCTATTTCTCACTTCCACTGTATTGTCATAAGGGATTTGATTTAGGTCATACCTGAATGGTCTAGTGGTTTTCCTTACTTTCTTCAGTTTAAGTCTGAATTTGGCAATAAGAATTTCATGATCTGAGCCACAGTCAGCTCCCAGTCTTGTTTTTGCTGACTGTATAGAGCTTCTCCATCTTTCACTGCAGAGAATATAATCAATCTGATTTTGGTGTCAACCATCTGGTCTTATATATATATATATATACCATGATACCCCAAATATTTTAATTTTAAAGTAAACAAATGTAAGTTAACACACAGATTTCCTATATTCTTTACACAGTATGTGCATCATGACCTTTTTGATATTTTATTTTTAAAAATAATTTCTGATACCAATTCTCACAATTTATTAACTTTTTGTATGAGCTTCCCCAGTGGACTCCACAGTTTCATAATGCATAACAACACCTGTTTAATGCAGCAAATAGATATCAGGTTATTATAATGGTGAGTCCTCCTCCTTGTATTTACAAAGATTAAGGAATTCCCCATTGTACTTATACTTCCAATAAGTACTGTTTCTACTCTCTCTTTCTAAAGGATGATGGTGGACGAACCTGCTGGCAGAGTCCCATGTTCTTGCCCAGGCACACCCAGGACAGCCTATCTCCCTAGTATTGGCTGTTGGTGGTCGTCTCCTTTGAAATTTTAGCTTCTAAAAAGGATGAGAGTAGTAGGTAACCCTGGTGTTATGCCCGATGTCTGAATCCCCGAGCGGGAAGAGAGAAGGCTTCCAAGACAATGCAACTCGCAAAAATGGAAGTTTATTACTGACTCGAGCCAGGGCTTCTGCCGCAACCAACGCAGTGGTGCAGGGTCAGAGAGCCCTGAGTCCAAGCTGTTACACAAATTTATAGGGTGAGCACACGCCGTTGGTAGTTGGTTTAAGCGGATTGGTTACACGTTTGCAAAGCAATTTCATTGGTCAAAACTTTCACGCGCGCGGGACTTTCCGGGGGGTTTCCACCCCGATCCTAATTTCCTAATTGGCAAACAGTGGTCAGTGTTAAGCGAAAGCTAATTTGTTGTATCCAGGTGGCCTGATAATCTTACCACCCAGAAGTAGGCAGGCCTACTCCTAATCTAAGCTGCCCGCCATGGCGTTACTTCTGCTTGCCTACACTGGGAGCCTCAAGAGATAACAACACAGCCTATCACCTGTTCTGAACATTGAGAATTTTTAACATGATTGATGTAGGGCTTGGTCTCAGGTGTGTTTGTGTGTGTGTCCATTCATACAAGGGAATTCAAAAGTACTGAAGCTGTTTTCCTATTTCTGTAATGAAATCTCAATTGACATGATAGAGAATATTAACCAAAAAGGATTGACATTACATCTTTTATGACTTTTAATGAGCCTCTTTGATTTAAATGGTTTTATCAGCTAAGGCAGTCCTTGGGAGGTCACGAGGAAGTCACCTCTAGAGTGTCCAACAGTATTTGGTGGGGAGACAACGAGCAACGAACTAAGGCCACGGTTGAGTCTCTGTTATTGACTTCTTCCTTGGGAGCCAAGGTCTTTTCCCTGTTAGTTTCCTGGGTCATCGCGCCCCCAATTGTTTCCCAATCCTTTGTTTCAGATTCTTTCTCCCATAAACAGTGCACGCCTTTCTTCATCCTTTAGCTGCTTGTCACTGAGGCTGCCAACAGCCAGACATACTAAACTTTCACACCGAGGTTAGGACTCGAAAATCCCAAGGATTCTGGTCAGTCTTCAGGCTGCAGCAAAGGTGTCCATCAGTGTTCTGGCGCGCATGAGCTGCTGAGAAGCCAAAAAACTTTTTCACCCTCAACATCTACAGTCAGTCTAAACACCAAGATAGAAACCTTTGCAGCAGAAGCCGCAGTTTCCCTCCTGGTCTCTAGGCTCACCCTGCTTGCACGTACCCTCGCAGCCACCTTTTGGCAGGCCCTCCCGGTACTGTCCTTGACGCCCGCGATCCTGGGCGGGCCGACTCTGGGCGCGTCTCGGGTTCCCAGCCGCCTCCGCCCGCGCTGCGTCCCCGCGCGCGCGCCGGGTTATCCAGTCTTTGAGCATGGCAGATTTTCACCAGATGACATCATGGGAGCTAGTGAGTGCCGGCTCCACAAGGGGGACGGAGAAGGGGAGGGAGAAGGGGAGGGGAAAGGCTGGGAAGCCGCGCCAGAGCCGTTGCCTGCCACCAGCCGTCCTTCCGCCAGCCCTGGAGGAGCGCTCCGCCGATTACTGACAAAGGATGGGAGGATGCCCGAGCAGCGAGATGCGCGTTGTGCGCAGCCCGGCGGCCGCCTGAGCAGCTTCGCCCTTCGCCGGTGAGTGACCACGGAGCGCCGCTGCTAGCCCGTAGCTCTCCAGTTCGCGGTCCCAGAGCCTGGGTCTTCCACCCGAGCGAGGCTCGGCGTGCCGTCAGCCCAGAAGCGCAGGCAGCAGATGCCCTTGCCCGGTGGGTCCGCACGAGAGCTCAGGGTCTGCGTTTGAGCTGGTTCTGGGACCCACCTCGTCGGCGGCTGCCTGGGCGGTCCCCCGCCCGTCCGCCGGCGCTCTCCCAATGCGCCAGCCCTTTCTGGTGGGTCCCCGGTGCGCAGCAGATGCCGACACCACCTTCGCGTTAGGGCCGGATGGCGCCGCTCAGACAGCGCTGAATCAATGGCAGTCCTCTGACAGACTCGAGTGTGGGCTTGAGGGTCTCGGACACCGACTCCCCGGGGAGGCGCGCGCAGCTGGTTGCGGAGCGCAGCCTTTGTTTCCCGTTTGCGCCGGGGCGCTCAGCCCCGCGGGTGTTCTCGGCGACTATCCAGGGGAGAGCGGGTCCCGGCTCCGCCCGGGTAGAGGGGTGCTGTCGCGTTCTTTCCAAGGGCGGGACTGAGACCCCAGAAGGGTCTTGGGCGCACAGGTGAGAATCGCAGTTCTGTAGAGCGAGTTTCTTAAGCTCCAGGAGGTGAAGTGACCAATCGAGGCAGAAAGACGCCCAAGTTCTGTCCCCAAGTGGTAAGAGTGAAAGAGCAAACTTAGGGGGGCTCACTCTTTTTTTTTTTTTTTTTGCTTGTTTCCGAAGCGCTATTCTGTTGAGGATTCTTTGTGGCAAGTGGATGGAGTTAGGGAGGCATATCCAGTATATCATTAGAGAGACCCACGTTTACCTGGCAATCCCTTTTGTTTTTCACTAGTTCCGGAAGAGGTTTGCTAGCTAAATATTTTTGAAGTCAGCATCTGTCCTAGTACAGAGCTTTGTGGGCTGGTAGAAGAGTCCCTTAGTTTAGAAAAGTCCCTGGCTTCTCAAGTCCCTTAGTTTAGAGTTGGGCTGCGTTTGAAAGCTGAAAGCCACAGTGCCCACGCCCACGCCTGCTCGCTGTGTGTGTTCCACGCACATTTTACTAGTGAATTCCTGTTTAGGAAGAGTCAAATTTTCAGATGACAAACTAGTGATACCTATTGGAATATTTGATTTTAATGTCAGTTTATTTCACTTTGTGGAAAAGGTGAAAGACGATAAAGTTTGCTACTTTGGGTTCAGTTACTTTATTTTGGAGTTCCATATACTGCCATTGACGTCTGAAAATATTTAAAATTTTAAGAGTTCGTTCATATTCATGAATTTAATGATGATAAATGATCTCTCAATAGTAACGAGATTCTTGGTATACACATTTGATATTCCAACATCTAACGTAATAGGAGAGTATAAGAAATTCGGAAGTCATTTTCTTTTCTTTGTATTATAAAAAGATTTGCTGATTTTTCTCTGGACAGGTGTTCCTAAATAAGCTTTCCCAAACTAGAAGTATCAAAGTATATTTTGTTGATCAGTGCATGCTCTTCTGAAAAACATAAGGTCTTTTCAGAACAGACTTGATAAATATATATATATATATGTTATATATATATATATATATATATATATGAATAAGAAATGCTTCGGAAGTGAAAAAGGAACTGGAACTGGTTGAGACCATAGGCAGGTTTTACTAAATCTAAACGGTGGGAGGGAGGAAGATGGGTTTCAGAGGATGGTATATGAGTTTTTGTTCATTGTAGCTTTTGCAAGCTTGTCTCTCCTTCTGGGGAGGACATAGTTAAATATTTGATGTTTAAGTTGAGAGACCAGTGATATAAACAGAAAAGCTATCTTTATCCAGAACTTCTGGGTTTGGAAGCAACATTTTCTCCCATTGATTCAGAAATAATTTTTACTTCATTATTTGTTTTCTGACTTCTTATCAGAAAGGGCTCCACCAGTTTCTTCAAAAGTTTTATTTCTAACTTTGTTGTACTCATCTATTTATAGTAAAGCTTAAGGAACTTTCCATGAAAGATCTTAAAGAGCCCGCTTCTCACATCAGCTGTTCTCCTGAAATACAGTAATACCAGAATCTGTTTGAAACTAGCCCAGTGAGTGACCAGTCTTCTGATGTGCTCACATGATGGCATGTACCAGACAAAATAATATACATTTATGTAAAGTATATAATCCCAATCTGAAAGTCAGCGAGCAGTGATAAGCGGGAGGTGTATGGTATTTGGCAAATGATATTTCCTTTAACAATAATATATTTTACCCTTCCCCCTTTATATGATAAATGAAGATGTACATTAAGATAACAGGTTATACTTTAAGTCTGAAATCTTTTATGTCAAAAATATTTATCCAAGAGGGTAACAATGCTCTGATGCTTTACTACACATAAGATACAATATGTAAGGAAAGTCCTCAGAAAGTATAAGCATCTCATAAATCAATATTATTTAATGTATTTGATAGGCAGTACAACATAGATTTTAAATACATGAAGTAATATTCTCACAATGTCCTTTAATATGTTTCACAAATATTTGAAACTATTACACAGGACTCTGAATTTGGAAAGATTAGGGGAAGAAAAGGAAGTTGTAAGACAAAAACAGAGCTATACTATATTGCCACGAGTAGGTAGCAGTGATGTTTCAGGGTCATGGAAAAGAGCATTATGTCAGAAGACTGGGAGATTCCTGAGAAAAAATAACATATGAGGAGTAAGTCTATAGTATTTGGTGGCCTCTTGGTTTGTTATTTCAGTTGCTTGATATGAACAGATAATGTAGGATTTCAGTAATACAGTAAAACTCTCTTCACTTTCCTTGAGGCAAAATTCAGTCTTGAATCCATTCAGAAGTTTGTTTTATGGGGTTTTCTGTGGTGCAATTCAAAGTCTATGTTAAGGATGCTTTATAAATCATAAAACATCATGACTTGGGTATTGAAATTGATCTGTAAAAGCTTTATGGCTGAAAGGTTTTTGCATTTCAGCCCTCTCTGGAATTATAATTTAAGAGTGAAAACCAAAAGTTATGGAATTGTTGAAAATATTCAGGAGTGTGATGATATTTGGGGCTTCCTAGGTGGCTCAGTGGTAGAGAAACTCCCTGCCAATGCAGGAGACATTGGTTCAATCCCTGGGTTGAGAAGATCCCCTGGGGAAGGAAATGGCAGCCCACTCTAATATTCTTGCCTGGGAAATCCTATGGATAGAAGAGCCTGGCGGGCTACAGTCTGTGAGGTTGGAAAAGAGTCACAAAAAACAACAACAATGTTGTTTATAAGAGAAGATAATTTTGTTAATGGGGTTTTTAAAAATAATTTTTTAAGACATTGAAAAAAAATCCTCAGAAGCCAAACATTTTCCTTTGTTATATATTGGATACATTTTGCAACTTAGTGGACCAGTTGATACTATTAATTCATTTGTACTTCCAGTGTAAGAATGTTGAGGACCAGATAAGAAAAATGTTTTCTAGCTTTAACTTTGTTATGGAATTGAGGATGAGTCTCTGAATCTCCTAACAATTTCCTCTTACATAAAATAAAGATGACAGCATCTGCCCTGTATTTCTCAAAGGAAGTGCTATATAGTGAATGAACTAATGTGCAAATATGATTTTAAAAATAGAAGAACTAAAGATTATGTATTCGTTAAATTTTAAACTTTAGGTATTTTCAGTTAAAGAAGTAAATTTGTATAAAAGTTAATTTAGTTGTGATTTCTTTTTTAAACATCTGGTATTTTTAACTCAAAGCATCCTTGACAATTCAGTTATTGTACTCTTCATAAAAATTTTTAAGTAGATTTTTATAAAGTTGTCAACTTTACTGGTAACAAATCCTCTTGTTTTTTGTGTTTCAGAAAATATTTTTATTTAGCCTTTATTTTTAAAAATACTTAAGTTGGGTATAAAATTGTTATTTGGCAGTTACTTTCTTTCAACATTTTACCTTGCTATTCTTTGATTCTGGAGTCCATGAGATTTGTCAGTCTTGTTGTTGCTTTAAAGATACTGTGTCTTTGCCTCTGACTGATTTTAAAATTTCCATTTGTCTTTTTTTCTCACATTAACTATGATGTTGCTGGGTATGATTTTCTTTTGATTTAACTTCTTTTAAGTTTGCAGAGCTTTTTGCATTTGTGTATAGACCTCTTTCATCAGATGAAATTCATAGTGAATTCTTGACACTGTACTCCATTTTCTTTCTTTTCCTGAGATCTCAAGTATATTTTTAATACATGGTTTCACTGTGCCCAACGTGGCTGTTTGATATATTCCACTATTTTCTACTGAATGCTTATTTGGAAAATTTCCTTTGACTTTTTCTTCTAATATTTTCCTACACCTACACTATGCCCTTTAAACTATTGAACTTATCTATGGGTTTCTACTCTAATTAGTGTAGTTTTTCAGTTTTCAAATGTATATTTCATTCTTTTCTATGAATCCCAACTTATTTTCTCTATCTTTTCATTATTCTGCACATACTAATTAAAATTATTTATTTATTTTTTCTAATGCCAATAACTGGATTATTGTGAGCTTGTTTCCAGCATCTCTTTACTTTCAATTTTAGTAATTGTGTATAAAATTTTTTGCATCTCCAGACAATTCATCCAAGACTGAAGAGTTGTCAACATTTCTTCTGCTAAGTAGATAAAACAGAAGTGAAGTGAAGTCACTCAGTTGTGTCCAACTCTTTGCAACCCCATGGGCTGTAGCCTACCAGGCTCCTCTGTCCATGGGATTTTCCAGGCAAGAGTACTGGAGTGGATTGCCATTTCCTTCCCCAGAGGATCTTCCCCACCCAGGGATTGAACCCAGGTCTCCTGCAGTGTAGGCAGACGCTTTACCATCTGAGCCACAAGGGAAGCCCTGTAACATGCTAGGGACAGAGAAAATGGAGAGGTGGACAATCATTGCAATCCAGTTGATGATGGAGCTGGCTCCAGTGTAGATGGACTTCATCCCAGGCAGGGGTACCTAACTTCCAAGGAATAGACATCCAGAGCCTTCCACCAGTGCATTCACAAATACTAAACACAATTACTCAGACCAAGACCTCTGAGAATCCTGCTCTTCTTTTCAGATGCTTTCTTGTTAGCTTCTTAGCCTCCAATCATATGCACACCATTATATGAGCAAACACCATGTGGGTAAAACCAGGCATATGCCAATCTGGTACTTTATCATTCATTTCTTCCTGGAATTTCAGCCCATTCTAAATTTAATCTTTTATCTTTCACCCAAGAAGCCATTTTTTCCCCTGGATTCTCTACCCTGAATCAGGAATCCTTTGCTCAGGCAAAGCCCATATTCTCATCCTCTTGCTGTGTGTTTAGGTTGGTAAATGCCTCCATTCTCTGTTCCAAGGCAGAAGAGCTTCTTCAACAGTTCAGTTTACCTCTGCATGTTTCCTTTATTTGGAGTCTTGAAGCCTCTAGCCTTGGCTTCTTCAGAAGCTCTTCAATAGATTTTAACAAATTTGTTTTCTGACTTTTCTTCTTGTTCCAGGTGGTAATATTGGTCATTGTCAGTTACTCCACTATAACTGTCAGGTGTTTTGGG